TGCTGTCATTGAGGGTTTTTGCCCACTTTTCTGCATCATTTGATCCTGCAGAATTACCAATGCTCATGAGAGAATAGAGTTGGGGGTCGACCTTCATGTCCAATAAATTTACTTTCTGGAAGCAATAACTTATGGGAAACAAAGCCCTTTTTTTTTTACCTCTGCGTTTCTTTTGTATGTATCTGTGCTTCCAGATATAAAATCCAATTGCTACTCCAACTACCAAAACCACCAAGGAGCTGACAACTGACACTACTATCACAATTATGGTACCTGCAAAGTCATCAATGTAAAATTGATCATGATCAGGCCAAACTTTTCGCTATAACAGGTCAAGAAAAAAGGGCGGCATCCCTTTTTACCTCTAGAACTTCCATTCCCCACTTCCTTGTTGAGAAAATCTCTATCTGAGTACCTCATGAAGCACCCTGTGTATAATGCTCTCCCCTCAGACCAAGGCAAGCATCCCAACATTGATACAGATGCATTTTCCAGACATTGCCTGCAAGAGTTCTCATCCAAAGTTCTCCAGCAATCAGCCAACACATAAGCTGATTTGTTCCCCGTCCCACTAACACTCACCTCACCCCTTGCATACCCTCCGTTGCTTGGAGCAGATTCAACTGCACGCTGCACAACCTGCCTTGCTGATTCTTCGAACGCCGTACTCTTCCTCGTAGTGTTCCCGCACACAGCCCTGTCGTCTGATCCTCTAAACTCCTCATAAAACGTGTAGTTTTCTGACCTCATGAAGCAACCGTCTAGGTAAATCCGACCCCCATTGTAAGGAAAGCATTGGGGAAGCACCGTACGTGCCTCAGCGTAGCATAGCACACAGTCTAGAAGAGAAAGATCACCATAGCATTGAGCTAGGCCATAGTTGGTGTCAGGGCCTGAACCAGTCCTTGCCACTCCAAAACCAGAAGTCCGCATTTGTTCACTGATGTTTTCCATTGTGCTCACAAAGTTTGGAACAAACACAGTTGTGTTGTGCTCCCGTTGGTTGCCGCACATGATTTGGACCGTCTGGGTTCTTGGATCTCCTAGAGCCATTCCTA